CTTGTCGTCACTGTCGGCGGAGGGAACAAGGGCCAGCACGCACGTGTGCGCCTTGGGCGCGAAGCAGACCTCGTCGAGGATCTCGGCGCCGACGGAGGGGACGACGGGGAGGGACTCGACGATCATGGGCTCCTCGGTAGGGGCGGCCTCCTCGGGGGCGTCTTCGGCGGCGGCCTCGGGTGCAGGCTCCTCCTTGGCGACGGGCGGCTTCTCAGCCTTCTTCTCAGCCTTCTTGTCCGCCTTGGGCTTCGTGTCCTTCTTCTCGGCCTTGGGCTTAGAATCCTTCTTATCCTTCTTGCCGGCGGCCGGGGCGGGGTCGGGGTTCGGGGCGCCGAGCTGGGAGATGAACTCAACGAGGGCGGCCTTCTTAAAGGCGCCGTCGTAGACGATAGGGTCGGCGCCGCCGGCGGGCAGCAGCACGAGCGAGGGGAAGTTCTCGACGCCGTACTTCTCAACGACCTCCTTCTGGTTGTTGCGGACCTGGCCAAGGGTGACGACGTCCAGGAAATCGATGGCGATACTCTTGGCCAGCGAGCTGGTGGTGCCCTTGTCGGTGAAGAGCAGGGCCTTGGGGACGTCCGCGTCGGCGAGGAAGGTGCTGATATCAGCGTCCGTGACCTTCTTGACGTGGTTGTTGATCTTGCCCTGGACGGACTCGACAATGCCGCTGGCGGTCCGGGCGCCCTGGTAGTCCTCAACGACGGGGCGGCCAGCCTTCTTACCGGGGCGCACGATCTTGAGGGTGGGGAAGCCCTGGATGCCGAACTTGCCACAGAGGGGCTTGTTGGCGTCGTCGTCGCAGTTGACGGCGGCGACCTTTGCAAGCCCGTCGAGGGACTTGGCGGCCTTTTCGTAGGCGGGCTTGAGGTTCTTGCAGTGGCCGCACCAGGGCGCGTAGAACTCGACGATGGACGTGTAGTTGGACTGCGCGATCAAGCGGTCGTACGACTTGCCGTCGACGTTGAGGACGGCGGATGACTTGGGGTACATGCTCTCTGCCAGCACGCCGGGGGCGGCGGCGAGGGCGAGGATGCCAGCGGCGAGGATGCCGTGGTGATGCATTGTGTAAGTGAGGGAGCGAGTGAGGTGAGAAGCTGGGTGTCGCGGTGGAAGGAGGGAAGAGACAGGTAGTGGAGGAAAGTTCCAAAGGTGAAGTGTGGTAACAGCACGAATTTGAGTCCGGGGGTTGTCTGGCCACTGGGGGTGAATGTTGGCTTCTTCCCTTATTTGGGGTCAAAAGGCCAGCGTGGAGGATACGGAAGGGTGGTGAGAAGCAACCCGTGGTTCCATCGAGACATTGGCGGCGAAGGCCCCTCCCTCATTGAGGGAGGACCCAGCCACCGGCCCCACAGGAGCTACAGCTTGAGCCACGGGCTGTCGGAGCGCGCGTGGCTGGAGCTCCTTCCGTTGATGGAGCGCAATTGCGGGGGAATTCGGCCGTCCACCTGGCGCGACCTGGAACTGGGAACCTGAATGTCCAACCCACCAACCGACAGACCACCTGACGACTCAGAGTTGCACTTCCCCAAGCCGCTCTCGACTTTATCTCAATACATTTAGGCTCTCAGCAACCACTCCGACCTCTTTCTCTGCCATCTGCGCCATTGCGCTCCTTCACCATGGCAGACATCCCCGCCAAGCTGCGCCAGGCAGACATCACGAGGTTCCTGAACCGCGGAAACCAGTTGCGACAATTCAAGCCCGCCATTACCTACTGGTGTATGCCATACTAGTTCTTTATGTCGCTGATGCCAGCGTTGACACCTCCTAGGTGAATACTGGGCTGTGCGACAAATCCTCATGAAGCAGCTGCACAACTCCGATGACGAGTGCCTCGCCTTCACTACCAACCTGATGGACCAGCTGGAGAAGGTATGTCGCGCAGACACTTACCTCGCTCCCCGCTCACCCAGTCCTCGCAGACGAAGATGGAACACGCCGACGAAGAAGCCATCACCGACGAGGCCGTTGGTCAAGCCCTGGTGGAACAGTTCGCCCAACAAACGTTCGACCGCGCCGAGCGGACCATGACCCTCAACAAGGTCACGCGACAGACTGCCGATACCTTCGACGCCGCCTCTACATTCTTCCAGTTGCTGAACGCATGGGGTCCCCTGGACGCCGAGGTGCAGAAAAAGGTCAAATATGCCAAGTGGAACGCCGCGCGCATCCTTCGCGCCATCAAGGACGGCGAGGACCCCAACGACTCGAACCCGAAACACGAGGAGCCCGCGCTGCCTGAGCTCGACCCAGAGGACCCCGATGTCCAGCTCCTGTCGGGAACATCTGGCCCCCGTCCGGCCACGGTCGAGGATGACCCCGATACTGAGTTCTACAACCGCCAGGCTGCCGAGCCCTCTTCAGCCGCTGCGCAGGAGCCTCCCGCGCTGCCAGATACTCCCCTTCCAGAGCCCGTATCTCAGCCGCCGCCAGACTCTCCAAAGGAAGGCGGCCTTCCGCAGCCGAGCGGTGGAGGCTCGTTCCTGCCCTCAGTCAGCGACCTCGGCCCCCCTTCCGCCCAGTCTGCGGCCCAGCCAACGGACTACTTCCCTCCAACCCAGCCATCCGCGCCAACTCCCTCAAGCATTAACCCTCCCGAGACGTTCAACGAGCCACCCTCGGTGCCCACTTTCCTCCCGGACCGCACCGCAGAGAGCCCTGACACAACTCCGTGGCCAGCGCCCCGGACCCCGCAGCCTCCTCCGGCGTCGCAATCAGCCAAGGCCAAGCCGCCCGCAGCTCAGCCCAGGTATCAGGCCCCGCCGCCCCAGACCTTCGTGGAAGACCCATCTCCGTAAGTTTAAAAACCATCACAGATTGTAGCCGGGATCTGACAGAAACTAGAGCGGAGGTTGAGGGTGACATCCCAGGCGCCACGAAGCATGCCCGCTTCGCCATCTCGGCACTCAACTTTGAGGATGTCCCAACGGCGATCAAGGAGCTCCGAGCAGCCCTGGCATCCCTGGGTGCCAAGTAACGACAGTTGGCTGGATTTCGACCTCAGATGGCGTAAAGAACGGCGGCAAGTATCTTTCAAGACTAGCGAGCTCACACAATACCATTCATGCAGAGCCATCCGGCTCGCCGTGCGATATCAAGCATTCACCTTGCCTCACGCTAACCCTGCTGTTCATGGATCGATGTTTGACCGTATCGCCGTATTTCTGCACGCGACTCATACCACTGGTCTGGGCCAACCCCCGCATGCTTGTGATTGGAAAACGGCGTCGTCTTTCGCCCTTCGCGACCTTTGTATCGGACTTTTCGCTGTTAAAACGGACCTAACCCCGCCGCGGCATGCGGGGCAACGACATGTTTAGTAGTAAGCAAGTCGCATTCATTGTCTCTCTACGTCCCCGATATCCCTCGGGCCCTCGGCACGGCAGCCTCCAAGGTTTTTTTGCGAGCTGTCCGCCCATTGCGGATGGCAGGGCGGGTCAAGCCTGCGCCCGCGCCGTCGCATTCCCGACTGATCCGTCGTCTAGCGCGGCATGCCCCTGTCAAGCCTGTCTGGAGCTCTCTGAGACAGCTTCCCCCGCTCCCGGCCGGTCGGTGACGGTGACATCAGCATGAAGTGGTCGAAGACGCCGGAAGTGCCGATCCAGTTGGGCAATGATACGGTGACGCTCCCCGCGCGGGCAGTGAGCTATAAAGTGCGGTTGTCACCTCTTTCTCACCCCGTTCCAGTCTGGAATCCCAGTTGCATACTACGATACACCGCATCTTCGCACACGTTCAACAGCATCATGACCCTCCCCAAGACGTACAAGGCGTGGCAGGTTGAGAAGGCCGGTGGGCCACTTGTGCAGAAGGAGCTGGAGCTGAAGAAGCCCGGTCCCGGCCAGGTGCTCGTCAAGGTTCTGGCCTGCGGTGTGTGCCACTCCGACACTGGCATGCAGCAGGGCCACTTTGGAGATGTCTTCCCCCGCGTTCCCGGCCACGAGATTGTCGGCGATGTTGTCGAGCTCGGTGACGGCGTGACCAAGGTCAAGAACGGCGATCGCGTCGGCGGGCCGTGGCACGGAGGTGAGCTGAGATCCCCAGTCTGCAGTCCCCAGCAACGACCCTGACACCTCTCCCTTCCCAGGCCACGACCAGTCCTGCCGCTCGTGCCAACGCGGCCAGTTCCAGTGTTGCGACAACGTCGCCATCAACGGCGTCTCTCAAGATGGCGGCTACGCGCAATACGTCCTCCTCCGGGCCGAGGCCGTCGTCCGTGTCCCCTCCAACGTCGACCCCGTCGAGGTCGCCCCGCTCCTGTGCGCCGGCGTCACCGTCTTCAACGGCATCCGCAAGATGAACATTGAGCAGGGCAACCTCGTCGCCGTCCAGGGCCTCGGCGGCCTAGGCCACCTCGCCGTGCAGTACGCCAACAAGATGGGCTACAAGGTCGCGGCGCTCAGCTCAGGCGCTTCCAAGAAGGACTTTGCGACGAAGCTTGGCGCTCACGAGTACATTGACTCGAGCGCCGATGACCCGGTCAAGAAGCTGACTGCCCTCGGCGGCGCCGCCCTCATCATCGCCACGGCACCGAACCCGAAGGCTATTGCACCCCTCACTGCTGCCCTGCAGCCGGGCGGCAAGCTGCTGATCCTCGCGCCCGTCGGCACCGTCGAGATCAACTCGGTCGATCTGATCATTGGTGGTCGTTCCGTCCACGGATGGCCCAGCGGTCATGCCCTCGACTCGGAGGAGGCGATTGACTTCGCCACGACCCACGGTGTCAAGTGCATGGTTGAGCCATTTGGATTCGACAAGGCGACCGAAGCTGTTGAGCATATGCTGTCGAACAAGGTGCGCTTCAGGGGTGTGTTGGTGGTGGAGTAGCGAGTCTGTCAATCAGGATAGAAATTCAACGACGAAAAATTACCAACCAAGTGTGATACAATCTTCTGTTCATTACCTTACCTAAGGTAGCCATCGTTCAAGGCGCCAAAAGTAGTTGAAGTTGGACGGAACAGTATCGTCTGAAAATTCAAGCGACAAAAATCAAACATTGTTGTTGCGAGTGGGATTTGAACCCACGCCATTACTGACTGCGGGAAATGCGAGCTGATAGTCATCAGCTACACCTAAACACAGCGCCTTAGACCACTCGGCCATCGCAACTAATTGTGATGGCCGAGTGGTAAAAGGCGCTGTCTATATGTCCAGCCAAAAATAATTACAAGCATTACTATTCGATTTTCGTAATTGCAAGTATGTATATTAACAACGAGATTTGATAATTTTCTACCTGCACACGACACAAAACTGCGTCCTGGAAGATGGGAATAAATAACAAGCCGCAGACAAGGTGCCTGGTAAACCACAAGTACCGAGCCTCCCTGGCCAACCCCGCGACATCATGCCGAGCAGCTATGGCCGTCGCTTGAAGACTGAACCCTTTCAAGGCGCAAGAACCAGTGAGGCATAAACAGTATGAATGATGAATGATGTCACTAGCTACAAGTTACATGGTCTCTCTGTCTTAGCAACAAGTGTTTGTCTCGACGACATTTGGTTCTCTACTTAGGTAGTCACAATTGCCAGGTGGGGGGCCTTTGTTCGATTACTTTGAATGTCGGATGAGGGCAGCAGCCAGAGATAAGGCAAGTGGCAGTCTTCTTCGGGACATCTAATTGCTCGAAGGTCTATAATCAAAATCAAGTGTCTTCAACTTTGCATCCGCGACGGATGTGACGATGCTTCCCTTCCACAGTCATCCCTGTTCGCCTGCCGACAATCCCGCACATAGCCAACTGCATACTGGCGGAGCCATTTACAATCAGATTCCACTATGACCCCGTTAATCTTATTGCATCAGACCTCATTGTATCTTCTCGATGGAACTGGCAGAGTTCCTTACAGAGGAGGCTCTGACAAGCTCCCGCAGAAGTTGCGCTCGGTGAGTTGGCATGTCCATGTCCGAGACAGGCAACTCGTAATTATGTCACCACACTCCCTCATTCTGGATTCAGATCAGCGGCGTGAGGTCCCGTCACTTGACTTCCCTTCATACCAATCAGACCTGCGTCTAGACGAAAGGATTGGTGTGACGAAGAGGAGTATCGGGCCTGTGACGAAACAGAAACCCCAGAAAGCCAGCCAAGACACGGAAAATGCGTGAATCGACGACAGGTGCCTGTTGTTGTGCACCGCAGGAAGCTTGAGGTGGTGGTGCATAAGCACGGTTGCTACGTCATGCCCAGCTATTGGCGGGACACCGTCAACATTGGCATCCATGAATCTCGATATGCTGAAAGTACCCAGTGGCACCTCCGATGTGTCACCGGACTCCTGCAGCTTCCTACCTCCTGGATTCCATGCCCGTTGGCCACGCATCGCGGCCGGGCCTGGCTCCCTCTGCTTTTGAGGCCCTTCAAGTTGAGCGCCGGGCGCAGTCTGGACCTTGGTGCCCCCCCCTGTAGCCTCCGTGATAAGCAACTAACGTCCGACTCGGCCTGCAGGCTGCAGCACACACGCTGGGGAGAGGACCTGTAGTAGTGGAGCCGAGCACCCTTGGCACCCTCTCCCAGGTCCACAACCCCGGACTCGGCCTGCACCATCTCTGCATTTGGGGCTTTTTCTTCGCCCTGACGGATGAGGTTGTTCAACCAGTTTGAGCCGGCCAAGCCTTGAATGGATGTGTGATTCGTGGAAATCTTCTTCAAGATGCACCGATCCGCGCGATGCGTCTGGGGTCGCGTCACCGGCATTTCCAGGGCTGAAGGCCCAGGTCGCGATCGACAAGTCGCAGCCTTCACATATAAAAGGTAAAGTCGCGCCTCCCATGACCAAACCCACCGCGGACGGCAGCCTCTGATTGCACCGGCAATATTACACTTCAACTTGCGTCAAAAGACCCCTGCTCACTTTCGCCCTCATCCGTCGCTACCCGCCGCCAATATGTCTGCCGTCAAGACTGGAGGACCACTCGAGTGGCATAATGCCGGGCCCCTGACCACAACCTGGACTGCCCCCGCAGCGTGCGCGACCTCTGGGAGCCCCATCAGGAGCGGTGTAGCATTGCCCGGCTTCAGCTATGGCGCGGCATACTATGTCGATGGGTGCGATGGGTATGAGATCCAGGAGGAGTGCAGGCCGAACGGCGACAAGCTCGAGGAGATCTACGAGGATCAGAACACCGACGTGCAGCCGACTCTCAGCCACTACTACTCGCCCGCCAACCAGTGCCCCCAGGATTGGGCGACCGTCGGCATCGCCGCCATGAACAATGGCTCCGTCAGCGCGACGGGCCTCTTCAGCCCGACCGTGTTCCCCAACGGCAGTCCGACTGATACAACCGAGTTTCCTTACGCCAATTGGATCGCCAACATGTTCACCACGATTCTTGAGCCTACTGAGACGGCCATTGCCTGCTGCCCGAGGTGAGACCGGTCCTGGCGACGAAGGGAGGTTACTCTATTGTGCTATACTGACATAAGTCACCCTCATAGCGGCTATTCGGCCGAGCTTTACGCCGGCTGCTATTCAAACTTTCCCTTGACCGAGCTGGCTAGCAGGACGGCTTGCCGCTTCCAATACATCGGCGGCGGAAACAACAACAACGAGTTCGAGACCGAGACCTTCGAGTGGAACGGCGTGACCACGACGGTGTCATACAGGGGAGTGCCGTTCACTTCCGGGTGGCGGGACTCGGACGATGCCGTGACCGAGACGGTACCGTTCGACTCGGCCGGTCGTCCTTCGCCGACGGGCACCCGCGCCGCGTTTGGTAATAGCTCCACGTGGGAGTCGGGCATCGCCATTGTTCAGCCCATGTTCCTGGTCGACGTTGGTGACGCCGAGGAACCCGCCAACAATGGCACCGATGAGAACGCCGCTCGTGCGCTCACGCCCAACAGCTGGGGTGCGATCGGTGCTATCATGGCGGCTTGGGGTATCAGCATGGTCGCCGGCGTTGGACTGCTGGCTTCTTGGTGAATGGAGATTCGCCGTGGTCAGTAAGGTGCGGCAGAATGCTGAGGGTATGGAGGTACATGTAATCACCGGGCACAGGCCGCGGGGGGTACGTCCCATTTCTGCGACTGAGGCCTAGGTCTCTTAAATAATTCATAATCAACATGTAGCACGATCTGTCGGGAGACGGCTTGCGATACTGCACCGATTCTCGGTCATGGGCTCGGAAATCAGCCCGTGAGGTGTCCTCGCGAGTGACGTAGCTGACGACCGACAGGCTGGTTAAGGTTTTGAAGCGTCAGATAGAGGGTGGTGAAATTTGAATGACTTTAGACGAAGGGTCTGGTTCGACTGAACTTTCCCGAGCAACTCTAAGCTCAGCCATCTCGCGCTTCATTTACGTCGCCGATCTGCGGCCAAGTGCAACTCGGGTTGATCCAAAGGATGTCATTAATCGTGAGATTGCTAGGCTAACAACATAATATGCCCGCTCTGTCTATACCTCAACCTTGGTCAGGGCTGCATCGGACGAGGACGCCGATTTTCTCTGATCGGGCTCCATGGTCGATGCTGTGGCTACACTGCCGCGATGCGGCTCCCTATCGCTGGATATCCGCCTGAGACTCTGCCACTGCCGCTCCAACTCGTCCTCGGATGTCACGTTGACCGAAGTGGTGGTCATGACCATGATGCCATCGCTTGGTAAAGCGTCTCGCGCCGGTGGCGGGCCAGAGCGGGAGAAGCCTGGGTCGGCGGCGATGGTGATGCTGCCGGGGCGGGGTCGAGGCGGCGCCAGGGTGACGGACTTGCCGTCGAGGCGACCGAGTGCCATGGTTCCCTCCAGGCATGTGTGCATTTGCTGGGAGCCGTCGAAGATGAAGTCTTCGCGACAAGAAGGGCATGGCGGCGTCTCCTGCATGGCGCCACCGGATGTGTTGGAGACGCTGCGCATGCGCGTTAGGTCCATGAGTTTATTGAGGACACTGAATTCAAGCTTCAGCTTGATGGTGTAGACGAATGCCTTGTATGCCGTCTGCACTTCGTAGAGGCCGGTATATTCGAGGCCGAGGATTGTTATGTCGAGCAGGATGACGATGACGTTCACACTGATGAGGTGCCAAAGTGTCTTGTGGCGGGTCGACGAAGGATGGAGGACGGAGTGGCGGAAAAAACGGATGGTGGCGGCGATGTATAGACCCGAGATGATGCACTCCTGGACGAAGAAGATTGACACCTGTACCTTTTCGGCGATTGAATAGGCCAAGAGGAAGCGGTTTGAGGCGCTCGAATTGGAACCGTAGATGAGAACAGCAATCGTGACATGACACATGATGCCGTTCACGATGATCATAACCAGCACGCACCGCAGATGCGTCGGGTTTCGATCGACGAGATGTAGTCGCGAGTAGAGGACGACCGACTGGCCCGTGACAAGACACGTCCAGCCGACGACTATCAAGGTGACATAGACGAAAACGGCATCTGAAGTGTTGATCCCCAGACCCTTGAGAAGGAAGCCGAGCGAGTATGGCACGGTGCCAAAGGTGGCGACGCAGAAGCTCCAGAAGTACAGGCCATGGCGGTTGCGGAAGGAGGCGAAGATGAGGATGGCGAGCTCGATAACGTTGTAGAGGGCGACGGCAAGAAAGACGACGATGGGAAGGGTGTAGTTTAGTCCCTCGGAGCTGTTGCTGACGATGCCGTTGTCAATGTCGAACATGATGTGTGGGTGGAAGGAATGCCGGGAGGGCTCCGTTCAGGAGACGGAGCGAACCAATGTCACCTTGTGGGGACGGACAGGTTGTCGACCATGCTGGCTCGTCCGGAAAGGGGAGGAACTGAGGTCGTCGTGTGTGTTCTGTCTGGGAAGTCGGATGGGAGAAGAGCTACGAAGACCTCGAGTCGGAGCAAGGAGGTGGACGGCAAGAGGTGTATAAAGGATGGGAGGCCCAGTGGCAGTGTTGCTTCTCTAACGTCACTGGATGAATGACGAATGACTAGCAGGCAGAGGAGTCAGCGCGCCGAGGATGGAACGACTCGGGTAGAGGAAACGGGGGGAGGGATTGGCCTGCTTGGCTGTCTCGGCAGATGTTGCTCGGCAGGTGAGCGCGTGCGATTGTCAGTTCGCCCGGCCCAGATGGAGGTCAACCCGTCTTGCCCGTCTCGTCCCAGCAGCACGGCCCCTTTGTTGCTCAAGGGGGATGGAC